GGTATGACCATAAGCTTGACAGTTCTGGCATTGACTAATAATTTTAGGCTTGTGAGGTTCTTCTATTTTTATTTTTGTGTGCAATAAGGATTCAAGTTTAAAAATCTCATTTGAGTGATCTGTTGGCTCGAGGTCGACAAAAAATAATGGCAGGGGTATTTTGCTAATTCTGTGAATAACCTGCGTAACTTGTCTGACTTCATATAAGCGAAGTTCGAGTTCACTTTTGATCATTTCCGTTGGAGTGGATGGGTGCAAGTTACGAATAACTATACGCATGGGTTTATCTTCTTTTAGCTGGAATGTATGGAATTCAGCTTCCGCATCTCTTAAGTAGTGAACTAGTGTTCTATACGCTCCTGGATTGGTAGTTTGGATTTTTAAATGATCAGCCGTTGACTTGCAGATAAAATTATCGACACCTATTAATTCAATTAGTTTTGTACAAACACCAGGGAAGTCTTCTACGCCTCGTATGAAAATTGGAGGGGGTGGTTTAGAGTAAGTGAGAACTGGATCTGGATCAGCAATTGACTGTTTTTCCTGTGCAGTAGTTTCAAAAGTTTCTTCTGTAGATTCCGGTGGTTTTAATACATCAAATCGGTTAGGAGTCGCGAATAGTTTTTTGCTTACATGTTGAAGTAGATTTGGTGACGATGGTTCTGAACAGGACGTACTAGAGTGATTGCGTTTATCACTATTAACAGGTGTCTTCGGTGACCTGGGTTTAGGATTTGCATTTGAGGTCTTGTTATTAAGATTTGCATTATTTGTATTATTATGATTACGGCTGGTCATATTTAAATGTTTAACTGTAGAATGATAAGTTTTCACGGACTGCGAAGTCGATTAATTACGCCGAGTAGCGTATATTATTATAATATTATTATAATATTAATTATTATCGTAATCGCGTGGACAAAGGTCACCGCCGCGGCGATGCCTCGTAGTGAGATTAGGTATATTATATAACCATGCACTAAATACGTATACTTAGTAAACTTAAATCTATTTCCACAAATAAAGGCTGGTTTTGGCAGCTGGTAGACACTGGGGTCAGCAATTACACTAAGAACTGAGTCGTTTGATATAAAGAACGAAAAATTCCGACAAGTTTGAAAAACATACAACATACAACAAAAAAATCAGTTTACACATTTTATACTTACAAAACAACGTTTCAAAACACCGAAAAAAGATGCCTTTGCATCAAAATCCCAGCCCTAAAAATGATTACTAAAAGTTAAAATAAATGGCAACGTCCCTAGAAATATCGTTCTCAATCGTTTGATTTTAAGGTACTTACAAAATATTGTTTCTTTGATCTGCCAACATCGTTCTCAATCGTGTTGCTAAAAAGGTAAAACGTTCTCAATCGTACAACACCGATACTTACCATCAAGGTGGATTTATCCACCTTGCTTACCAATTACCATATTATTGTTATCAATAATTACTTATTCTATGGTAGGTACCTACCGATAGTATGACGACCGTAATCTTCCGCCAGTGTTTATTAGTGTTTACCACAGATATATAAATATAATATATTAATATATATTTATACATCTGTGGTGTTTACATGTAAATTATAATCACTTATTCTATCGTCCAACGAAATATGTCTGAAAAAAAATTTATTACTGACCAAAGAGGCAATTTATTACAATTATTTAATAATAAAATATGAGTAGGTACAATAAAAATATAGAAATACATCTGCTGAAAAACAATGGAGGTTCAAAACAGTCCGATATCGATGAATCTGAAACATTAGGCGATAGGTACATGAACTATGGATCCGATAATTTATTTTTGCTACAATTCGCAGTATCTTTCAAGTTTAAATGCGGTGAACCCTGTGCGAACTGCCTTCAACTGGTACTGTACATTATATTAATTATTTGTTTGACAATTAGGGAAATAAGAAATTTATAACCTAAATACCTACTCAATTAAATAATTACATAATACAATATAATATAAGAATAAAACCTATATCTATTTAATATCATAAAAATTATACAAAGAAGATAATTGAACAAAAAACATAACTTATTACAAAAATCTACAAAAGTTGAAATTAGTTTCTACAAATTTAAATTCAATGAGCATTAATAAACTTTAAAATGTTATCTGATAATTGTGTCAATAAATGTTCATATTTTTGCTTAATTGCTGCGTAGTACGTCGTCCAACCATTTGTATACCCTAAAACAATTAACAAGTAGGTACAAATAAAATATATTCAAATTCTTTTTTCATACCATTTACACTAATTTAATTGAACAACTGGATAACAATCTTTTTTTGTTTAGATAATTTTAAATAATTACTGCACAGTGTCTTATATTATGGTCATCTTCTTCCGGGGATACGAGAGTCAACGTGACGACAAATCATACGATAGGAATCCAATTTGTGTAATTTTTAATATGTTTTTGAGTTCCCGTAAGTATAGAAATTACGCCATACTCAACATCAGAAATGATTATTTGCAGTAGGTACAATAGGTATATATTTCATTTTTTTACTTATTTGAAAAATTAGTAAGTATACATCATACTCATCATTTTACATTAACTGTGCCATTATTTTATATGATTTTAAATTATATATATATATATTAAGCTCAGTTAGACATTCACTAGATCTTACATCATTTTTTTCTAGACTATACATTTTACATTATAGATTCACGTATTATACATATTAATTAAATCCTAATACTACAATTTATAACTATAAAATTGTCTAAATTATGACCAATAGACTAAATACATTTTAAAATACATATAAAAGGGGGAGGGGTATGAACAGTGTCCAGCGAAATCGCTATGCAGATATTATAAACAGTAGCCGGCAGTATCGATATGTAAATATTATAAACGATAGCCAACGGTATCAATAAAAACCTTTTTTCTAAGCAGGTAGTTTCGGAGCAATCAATAAATCCCCATAATATTATAATATTATACTTAACGAGACTCCGGATTGGACACACGCAAATTACTCAGTCATCAAATGAGTAAAAACAAGCCTCCAACATACCTATCATGAGGCACTGGTCTTTCGATTAAACACATAATGACGAATGTTATTCTTTTTTCGAAACAAGATCGATCACAAAACTTCCGGGACACCTTGCAGAATCTCTCAGACACAACAGATCCTCACTCGTAGCCATCATCAATTTTATCAAAAAAAAACATAGCTTCAAACAAAATATAGAAAAATTTTATGCATTTTTTAAATATGTACAAACTTAATATCACTAATAATCTCTAGATGTAAATAATTTGTATTTGCATCCCAATGGCCTATAACACTAATGGTAATTCTATCATTAAAAAGAAATATATATACCAATTATCATATTGTAGGTAAAATATTGGTAAAAATTTGTACAAACAGCAAAATCAACTTTATTTTTTCAAATACTAAATTGCTAACAACTATATTTTTAATGGATTCTGGTAAAGATTTTTTTTCTAAAATGTTGATAGTCATCAATTTTGGTTCACTTATTGAGTTATAGTCTTCTTAAGTTTAGTAAATTCATTAATACTTTGAATAGAAAAAGTTTATTGGTATAAATTTAATTTAAAAGAGCTATATATTTTTTTCTTTCAACTATGTTTTGATACACTTAAATCGCTGATCTGATGAGACGCTCCTAAATATTTTTTTGGATAAATGCCCACAAAACTATTTGCAAACATAATTCATTATTTTTATTTTAACATATAAATATCAAAATTTTTTTTTTTTTTTTTAACAAAATTTTATTTATTACGCTATCTGTTACAATATTGAACAATAAGCTTAATTGATAATAACATAAACAAAAAAAATAGACAGAAGAGACTGAATGAAGAGACCTCCCATCGGAGGTACTTCAGCATGAATATTAATTTAAATTTAAGGTATTAGTTCTAGCATAATATTAATATTAATAATAGTGATAGTGCAGTGAATACATATACATACTACATAATAGTTATAAGTAACAAAAGATCATAAGTTGTATTGATACATTTTTTTTTTTTTTTTTTTTTTTAAATTATAAAAGTAGGTCACGACACCATTGCCTTTTTAATCTTTTGTGGGGATTTCCTGGAATAGTTGCAGATGATAGTTGGACAATAAGGGGATTGGAATGATGTGTTAGCTTGTTGTTGAATCGTTTATAGTGGAGCTTGGCTAGTTCAGTGACGGTTGGTAAATTGAAGTCAGAATGAAGGGTATCATTTGAAACATAGAAGGGAGCTTTGGAGATGACGCGAAGGACTTTGGATTGAAACCTTTGTATACGGTTTGTATTTGATACTTTGGCTGAGCCCCAAAGTTGTAAACCGTAGGACCAGATGGGCCTGAGTAGTAGTTTATACAGCAGTAATTTAGTAGGTAGTTTGATATTTTTAGAAGTTAGGAGTGGCCGGAGAAGACGAAAACGATCGTTCAACGTTCGAGTTTTATTTTTAATGTGAGCTGACCAGGTAAGTCGACGGTCAATGTTGACTCCAAGGTAGCGTACACATTGGGCAGTGGGGAGGGGTTGGTTGTTAAGGAGGAGGGTCGGGCACACTCCTTGACGAAGCGTAAAAGTACAATGGATTGATTTAGATTCATTCATTTTAACTCCCCATTCCTTGTACCAGGCTTGGAGAAGGTGAAGGTGGTCCTGAATATAGCTAGATGCTAGATGAGGATCAGAACTAGAGGCTAAGATAGCTTTATCGTCGGCAAAGTCACCGACAAGCGTGAATATCAAAATTAGAATTATTATTGTAATCGTAATTAATTAATTACTTCATATTTTTTTCATCATAGTTACTCTTTTTACGATAACAATACATGTTAGGAAATGCGGCATACCGTTCCATACCGGTGCCGATTTTAATATTACAATATTGGTATCATATTTCAATACCATTAATCCTAGTTGTACCACTGGTACTTCTAGTTGTTCTTATTTTAAAATTATTACTTATTTAACACTATTATTTTCTTTTTTTTAGAAAAATCACTAAGAACACAGCTAGAATTTAAAGAAAGAGCTGAATTATTAGAAACTTCTAAAATAGCTCGGAAAATCTTTAAGATAAGCTTAGAAAAGAAAAGCAACTTATGTGTAGCAGTCGATGTTGATACTGTTGACAAACTTTTAGATATTGCTGAAAAAGTAGCACCACACATTTGTATTTTAAAAATTCATACTGACGCCATTAATGGTGTCACAGATGCTACTATTAATGATTTACAAATCTTAGCCAAACAGTATAACTTCCTTATAATGGAAGATAGGTAACTAAAATGATAGTTAAACGTTATAAATATTATTAATATTTAACTCATTTCTATGATTACAGAAAAATGGCAGATATTGGTAATACTGTTAAATTGCAATACAAAAAATTAGTTAATTGGGCAGATCTTGTAACAGTGCATAGTGTTTCTGGTGGGATGATGTTAAAAGGCATTCAAGAAGTGATAAATGAAAACGCAAACTCATTAGATAGCCGAGGTGTGTTCATTGTTGCAGAATTAAGTTGCAAGGGAAATTTAATATCGGAACAATATATCAAAGGTAAGGTAATATCAGGGCATGTTCACGAAACTAATTAACTAGGTACATCATGTTTGATGAACATCTCAGTGATGTCAAAAATATAGTATATGTATAGACTATACTACTATAGGATATAAAACAAATTTACCCATAACGTATATAATGATTGGGCTACTCAAAAACAGAAATGTCGGTGAATCATTCTAACAGGCCCTATTTCGTACTTTTAATTTTAAATTGTTCGCTAATAAATATATTATATAATTTATAGAGACCGTGAAGATAGCTGAAGAGTATACAGACATTGTGGCTGGTCTAGTGTGCCAGTCTCATGATATTATATCATCACCAAGCCTAGTTCAACTTACACCAGGTGTTAATATTAAAAAAGCCAATGATAATCTCGGCCAACAATATCAAACTCCTAGAGATATTATTTTAACCAAAGGAGCTGATATTGCAGTAGTAGGTAGAGGAATTTATCAAGATGACAATCCTGCTGAATTAGCTAAAGCATATAAAGAATCGTTGTGGAATACTTATTTAGAACGTGTATCCAATTCTTCATTAATTTATAACAACTAATATGCCAAACATATATAATTAATAGATACCATTAATTTTGTTTATTTTTCATAATTGTAAACAGCTATTTTTGGTACACTTATATTTTTACTAATCTGTCAGGTATTAATTTGTATTGTTTAATAATTTCATTGTCAGCTACTAAATGTTAGTTATAAATAAAAATAATACTTGTATGCATATTATGGTTTATTGAATACGTAATAATATTTAATAAATTGTATTTTTTCATAACTTGATATTAGTATTTACTTTATATAATATTTTATATTTAACATTTATGAAACAATAAATATTATTCATTACTTGATTCAATCTTTTTAATTACTACACCATTTAGCAATGATACAAACAAGAAAGTCAACAACCATAGATTTAATTGGGCTCGTATAAACAAGTTAAAGCTTTTGGAGCTGGTTGTTCAATAAGGGCACAATTCAGACAATTTCAATATAATATATCTGTCGTAGGCATATAGTCAAATCAGGCATTTTTTTAAATGCCTAGGCATATAGTCAACGAATTTAATGTTTATGCAATTTCACTATTCGCCTAGACATTTAGTTAAATGACTAGGCATTCGATTAAATGTATATTTCATGTCAGGCAAATAATAAAAAAACATTGTGTATTATTTTAAAAATTTAAATATATTTTCTATCAGTTATTTATTGCTATTTTATATATAAAAAAAGCTATGTATTATTTATTAATATGAAAAAAACGTTGGTATAAGAAATAAAATGTTTAATTTCGTGTTCATTATTACTATTATTTTAAAAATGAAATCATAAATATATACAGGTAATAACTAATTAGATGTGATAGACGTAAATGATACTACGAGTAGTGAGTAAAATAAATTCTTAATAAATAAAAATAAAAGTTCCATTGGTTTTTACCTTGGTTGTATGAGAACCTTATCTATATTGAGTACCGTGGATACCGTGAGTACCGTAAAATAGTGAAAAACTATTTAAGGAACTAAAGGTTGGTAATCAAATAGTATTAAGTGTTCCAAAAGTAGACCGATGACCTCTCGATAGTCAAAATATAAATGGGTTAGTGATAGACATTCGGAACGGCGTTTACCAAATTGGTACAGAAGTTGGTATAATAAAAAATTGGTGTTCATGAGAAGAACTTCAGCTAGTGTCAAATAATGGCTTAGAAGACAGCAAAGTAAAAAAAGACAAATTTGTGTCCATACGTGAAGCAGTAGCAAACTTATCAATTTACAAAGGTCAGGAAAGCGGCAATGACAAACCAATCGGTGCTTATGTTTTAAGAAAAATCTCAAACTTTCCAGCAAATGCCACCACAAATAACAACATGTGACAAGTAATAGGTAACAAAAACTTGTAATTATAATATAACTTTTTATTTATTTTTTATGATTTCATTTTTAAAACAATAGTAATAGTGGACAAGACATTAAATATATTATTTTACATGATTATTGTTTTATTATTATTATTATTATTATTATTTTATTTTCTACGTGTTTGACATATTAATAAATAATACACACATATTTTATATATGAAATAGCAATAAATAACTGATAGAAAATATACTTACATTTTTAAAATAATACAAAATGTTTTTTTTATTATTTGCCTTACATGAAATAGACATTTAATCAAATGCCTAGTCATTTAATTAAATGACTAAGCATTTAACTAAATGTCTAGGTGGATAGTGAAATTGCATAAACATTAAATTCTTTGACTATGTATATGCCAGATGCCTAAGCATTTAATTAAATGCCTGATTTGAATATATGCCTACGAAATATCTATAGATATTAAATAATGCACATTTTCTAGAACCTGTTATTTATCATTTATACATTACATAAATATGTTTATTATATTACACCTTTATTTCAATAATTCGTATCACAAATCACTAGATACCTGGTACCTAGCTACTTAGGAAAAATATTACCCATACTAATAATTCTTATATAAGTTATATATTACAGTTATGCAGTGGCGAAGCGTCATAGGAGACAGTGAGACAACGTCTCCCCTCTTAGAAATTTGAATTTATATTTTAAAGTATATGATATACCTATGTTTCAATACTTGTTAAAATCGATTTTTCATTGTACAGTTATAGAATTATTAAAATAGATTAGATGGCTCTATATGGCCGTATATGTGAACTTTTATAAGCGGGTCTTATCAAACATGGTATTATATCCGTCTATTTGATGTAACGTCTCTCAAATATGGGAGCGCGGGTACAAGGGACATTTTAATGTGAGTGGGGTTTACTATTTACCTTATGAGACGAGTCTCATAGTATAGAAAAATTGATTTAACGTATAACGTAACTTAAATTTATTTTTTAAACGTTACCTTAGAGTGGAATATACACTCTTAGAGTTGGATAAAATAAAAAAGGGGGGGGGGAATCCAGACATACAAGTGATTTTTTTTCAGTGTCTCTCCAACCAAAAACCTAACGCCTCATCGCTTATAGTACCATTATAGTATTAAACCCATATATTTGAATTCATTATTAAAAATATTAACCATCCTTAAAAAATTTGGAAAATGTTATATTATTATACACTCACAGTATTAACTAGTGAATCATGTCTTTGCTCTCATAATTCTGACGGGTAACGTCCTCCTAAGAATATGTTTGTGCACCATTTGTTTTCTCTCTCTCTGACTCACAGGCAACATAGCAAATTTTCCTTTAACAGTATCAACTTGAGTAGTGTGTTGTTACTTTTAATATTAGAGTGAATTCGCCAATTATTAAACTTCAAATTAATGGAACATTACTTGTATAATTATGTTGGATTGTTGATGATATTTTCATTTGAATGCAATTTATAAGTATAAGTATAAGTATTTTTAAACTTGTAAAAACAAACAATTAGGCTGTAGACTTATGGTTTCGATTTCAGTGAACAAAAGATTTTTCCAACCCCCAGTCCTTTTAACCGGGTGTTAAATCACTGGCTATAATATTTTTATAATATGTAACCCAACATTTTTTCATGACATAATTTCAATAAAAATTTTAAATTATCAATAATTGAATGATTGATTATAACTTTTAATTATAAATAATTTGTTTCTACCAAGCTTAATCTTTATTGTTTTCTTCAAAAATAACATTGGTAATAATAAAATATAATGCTAAATATTGGTACACACCGTCATACTGCGTGTAATACATTAATTAATATTTATAAAAAAATGTCAAAAATTATCTATTGTTAATAGAATAAACAATTATTACGGTTAAATATATAATTATATTCGAAGAATTACTGTTGTTTTAATTGTAAAAATTAATATGTAAAAAGATAAGTCCATGAATATATGATATTATAAATTATAAATTATAATACACGATAGTTGAAACTAAAGCAGTAATTAAATAAACAATAATTAGTATAATTCAATCGATTACTAATTGTATTGGAACGATCAACGAATAAAACTGACTTGCAGCATAAAGTTGTTTTACTTGATGTTGATCTCTATGTTTGATCTGACGTGCAACTATCCGTACCTATAATATTATTATTTGCAGCACATAATATATACCTACATACAAATCCAACTGAACATATAAAAATAAAATGAAGACATCTTTAGTAATTCCAATCGCGTTGTTCGCAGTTTTTACTATATCAGGTAAATATTGTTTTATTTTCACCATAAGACAATACTATTATTATGGTGACGCACAATTCTTATAATTTAGGAATACCATAATATTATTTTTTCACCTAAGTTATTATTAACTCTGAAAATTTGTGAAACCTCGGTTCTTACCAAGCTTATTTTGTACTTCGATTATCATCAATAGGTTCGTTTTTTTTATGCACTTTGTTTTTTTTTTTTATAAATACAATTTACTATTGTAAGCAATTAAACATGTGGATACATATTATGTATGTTACTATTTAGCATACAAGATCGTTGAAGTCTAGTACAGACAGGGTTGGCAGCATTTTTAATGACAAGGGCCAAAAAACAAATTTAATAAAATATTAATTTTTCATGGGTTGATTTCACACTTTGATGCCTATCCTAATTGTATTTTAAACAAAAATGTATAATAATATTATCAAATTTAGCTTAGTTACATTCATATCTAAAGTATATGAGGATAATAAGAATGTCTTGTTCATTAATCGTACAATTGCCAAATATTATTATACATATTATATAGGTAGGCAATTAATTATATTTTATATTCACACACTACCTATCTATCAATTCAGTAGATATGTTCAGACTTTTTGAATATTAAAATTTGAGCATGGGACATGTAAAAAGAAAAACCAGAGAAACACAATTCTAAAATGAAAAAATGTTTTACTAACAGTGAATAATTTATCCACTAGGGAGAATATTTTCAATACTACAGTAGCAGTACCTATAGATTTTATTATAATATTAAGAACCTGTTTAAGGTTTTTGTTTTCGAGCAAATGATTAATGAATTAATATATAAAATTTTGTTGATGAACAAAGCGAGAAAATCATTAGGTACATTTATAATTAACTATCTAAAGTTGTAATACATTTTGGATTACTGTCAAGTTTTCTGATTAGGGGATAGTTTTACATACTTTTTAGTAAAGTTCATAGAAAATTAAATCTATATTGTAATAATTTGCATATTCTCTTTCTATCATTAAAATCTGTAGTTGTTAATAGGACAAGCGGTTATCAGGTACCTACTGGTAGGTAATATATCAAAACCTCGTTATTTTTACTTTCATTACAATTTTTAGGGATATTAGGTATTTATTCTAAAACTCTGCAAGCTGCCATTTATCTTAATTCACCGTCTGTTAATGGCGCATGTGGATAAATTGTTCATAGAAATATTTAGTTATTTAGTATGACTTCGATATATTAAAAACGGTGTACTTACTTGGTTAACAAACTTATATTTTTGATGGCATATTGAATACATGATGTTAAAAAATAACCTTCAATTTGTCATTAGGAAAACAATTATTTTCATTAATCATATAATTTATGTTTAGGGTTTTGATTGGGACTTTGGGGCAATTATAATATATGTGATTGACACACTAAAGTTAATAGTTATGATAAAATTGAGGCCACAGGTACATCGATACACCGTGCACGTGTACACGCCTATATATATAGGCATAGGACATATAATAATATTATGTTGTCAGTGAATCTCACTTATGTAGTTACATAAGTATGCAAATATTGTATTTTAGGATAATTATTTGTATTTATAACAAAATTTCAGAAATAAACTGTGAACCAATATGCGCAGACTTCAACAGTATGTGTATTGAAGACAGTGACTGTTGTTCTGGAAATTGCTACATGTCAAGCGATGTGAGCAAAAGATTTTGTATGGACTCTAAAAATACAACTTATGGTGTTAAAGGTATTATAATTTATAAATATTATTAATACAACATAATATGCAGAACAAACGTAAATTGTATTCATATTGTTTTTTCTTTGTTTCATGACGTAAAGTTGAACAAGGTTGGTGTTCATACAATGAATCATTCAATAAGGACACCAGCGAAGAAATGTTCCAGTTATTAGGGATAAATGCAGCCCACGCTGTGTTGCCAGTAGGCTCACAAATCACGTTAACGACGAACACAAACAACAGTCAAACAGTAGATGTCACAATAAACACCTATTTGCTGAAAAGCAATGAAACCATTTTGCAGTTATCCAAAGAACTAGCAGAAATGTTAGGTGTTAAAAATGGAGAGAAAATTGAATGTTCCATATCTTTAAATCCTCCTGTTAACAACTTTTCTACACTTAAAACAGCTGCTGGAATTTCAGCATCATTCTTTGTAGTTGTTTTCATCGTTATGACTTTTTTGTAAGATAGTTATTTATCTCATACGATAAATGTTTTTATTATATTATTGTTACATACATTTTATTTTTAAACAACCAATTAATATAAGCTATTAAAACTGTCTGTAATGAGTCTATTATTATCAATTATTTCCACAATCTGCTGTTGTAATTCTTTTCAAGCGTATGTCAACATGTAGTATTTAATTAAATAATAAATCTCATATAATTTAAACAAAATACTTCACGACTTGACTACAGAAACATATACATATCATATATATATGTGATATACATATCTATATAGGACCTTAGCCCATATTAAGCTACATAGAATATAGATTTAAAAAAATTATCGTAAATTATCTATATTAGTACACAATAATACCTACAATAATATATTGAATTATTATTTATTAAGGTGTGTAGTGCATTTAGATTTTAAGCCATTAATACTGTAATAGGACCATAGGTATATTAACTAATCAATAATATATATTTATTATTTATATAATTATAATTATAATAACGCCATTTGAATATGCTTAACTTATTCAATTATACTCGTAGATATTAAATTATTAATTTTAAATACCTATTGTCCAATTATTTTTAATGAATGTCATATTGTCATTATTATAAAAATCTAATATTTATCTGATATTTAAATACTCATCAGTAAATACTTTACTTTTATTTTAAATTGTATAGCTTATTTAAGTACAATCCACATAACTATAGGGGCTTATTACTAATATAGGTTTATCTTATAACTAGGGTATTTAAATTTTAAACCAAATCTTTGAAAATAAAAAAGATCTGTCGTGGATTTATCGGGTATAATAAATAATTTTTAATAGGTAGTTATATGAATAGAACATTATTAATACTTTGGATGTGGCCTGGTGAGGCGTGCTCGTACGCTCAGTATGCGGCAACGCTCTGAACGTACGTACCGGCCATCGCGCGTCGTTGCTAGCACTCGGAAGGGTAAGCATCCTGGTTTTTAGCAACACATCCTCGCCACATATACAAACGTGTCCCAACCAACCGCCCCCCCCCCCACACACACACACGCACACACAGTACCAGGCTAATGACCTTTGTAGTTGAAGCCATAATCCAAAAAAAAAAAAAATGTAATACTTTGGATTATATATTTTAATCAATGGTTATTCCAGTGTTTATTGAAACAATTGTAGCTACTTACCTACGTCAATATAAAATAGTAAAAGATCTTTTTCTTGTTTGAGGGGAATAAGAGCCTTAAGAAGAGACTACAACATACATAAGGTCAACCATGCATTATTTTAAGCTTTGATTTTCTAGGAGCTAGGGCACTCGGCTGGTACTGCCACATCCTATTTATAAGTAATTTATAATAATATATATTTTTAGAATATTAGATTAGCGATGAGTATATTGATTTTACATTGATGTTTGTATTTTTTTGGTGCCCGCACGACAAAGACACTTATTTTAATAGCATGCTTCAATCTTCAATATTGAGATGGATGGTTTATCCGGTTGTACATGATGGGGGGTCAAATAAAAAAATTCTCAGTACCTACTTACAATCAAATTGAGGAAATTAAAAAAAAATCATAGAAAAACGGGAATATTTAGATATAAGGTACACAAAACCGGCTTTAGGTTTGTCTTTTTTCTGTACTTCAAAAACAAATAGCATATATTTTTATGAATGTTTTGGACATAATTAAAAAAATATTTTGAATCTTTTTGAAATATTTAAAAACATTTTAAACCTTTTTTCTGATTTACATTGATAAACTTTTTTTTCTATGACAAAGAGCTAATAAATTTAATTTCTAGGTTCATATTGAGTGTTATTATTACAATCATTAAACATTCAGAGGATAAAGAGATTAAAATGAGTCAATTGAACAATAACCGTCTCTTATATTATAATGCTATAAAATATGAACACATGTTTTTTTCAACTATGTAGATAATTCTATAAATCTACCAACCAAAAAAAAAAAATAGTATCGTTACTAACAGAAAATAAACAATAATAGAACTATTAGCTAAACTAGTCGCTAACTACTATAAGTATGCTATGCGTCTATACCTATAGTATTCCCTTTTAAATTAATCCCTCGTATTGATAAACCATGATCATATTCATATAGGTAGGTAAGTCATGTGAATCAATAATAATTTTTAGTTAATACATAATAACTAATATTATTGATTTAGTTTAGGTGAATTCTGGCGAGTCTAAATGTGCAATTAGTTTTATTATTTTTATTTGGTTATGACAATACATGTGTTAAGTAAATATGTAAGTACCTATTATTAAGTATTTATGTTTGGTATAAAGATAATATTATGCTTGATTTAAGTATTTAAGTTGCCAAGTTGGTTATAAATATCTTCTTTTCACCAACTTACTGATATAGCCATAAAGGTAGCAGTAGCAGTAGTGGTAATAGACAATATACGTAGTCTAACATTATAATACTAACACTTACAATCGTCTAATTATTTATTATCTGTCGAATCTTTTTAATTTAACATAATGTAAAACAATAATTTACCACACACACCTATTAATATATTATCCTGTCACAGAGCCTTCCCCCACCCCTTCCAGTGCAACAGCAAATGTGAAATCATGAATATGATTATTTGTAAGAATATCCTAATAGCTCACTCTAAGTTATTTGAGACTTAATACCTAGCTAATTATATAATAGTATATTAGATATTAGTATATACTGTAAATATTGTAAATATACCGTTTAATTTAAATATTATATTGTACAATCATATTTATATGCATATAATTTAAAATATAAATTATAATGTAAAAATTAAAATGAAAAATTGTTAATTACATCTAAAGTCGTAAATGATACCTTTTTTAGTTTTTGAAACAATGATGCAGTGGGAACTGATATTGAAATACTTCAAAGTAACTTCATGATATTATGATACCTACCAACTAATAACACAAATCATGTGAAATATATTTATGCTAATAACGAGAATAAGTATTTGAAATCACTCTTTAAAAAAATCAATTCAAATAATGATATATCTAAACATCCAGCGTAAAAATAATAGCAAACAAACGATGCTTAAGATTATTAACACAAAAACATGTTTGTAAATAATTGAAAAATTTAAATTACGTAAGTACATGCATAATTTTAAGATATTCTATCTATGTATTGAATTCGTCATACTATTAGAAACATTTCTACTACTTAAAATACAATAATTCCGATTTCCGAATAGGTTTATTCATAATTATAAATTATTATTATTACTAGCAATTACTTATACTTTATAGTTGGACATATTGTGTTAGTACTTTCTATCGTCTACCTTTATAGTCAATGTTAAAATATAGTTTAACGTACCATTTAGTACAAATAACAAAATATGTAAGCAAAAAAAAAATTCAAAGTGATTTTCTATCATGCGTGTAAAAATTTCAACTGCACCGTTAATTCCTAACACAAATTGTAAATTTTAGATATTGAGTGGATTTTCCCTTAGTGGGAAGTCTAAACTCTTCACAATAGTCTGTCCACATGTGCAATGATGTATTGCTATAATAACATATATTTTCATTTTTATTAATATATAATGAAACAATTGATCTAGGGTCGGTAACATTTTGTGAAAACTGTTGTTTTCAAACATTATTTAAATACCAAAATCATATACAGAGTCAATGAACTGTCATAATAGTTTAAACTATATTCTTTGATCTGACTGTTTTGAATTATAATGGATTAAGATACTTGTACAAATAGTAATAAATAATAATCTATTATGATATGTGGCATTGCCACTAATTTACTCAACCAAATTTAATATCTCTTAATCGTCTATGTAATATTAATATATTATATAGTATTCTATTTTCTTAACAGTTATCATAAATCCTATTTTTTATTATTTATATTTTTACAAATAAATTTAATGAGTCAGTACATTACAACGGCTACATCAAATAAAATAATACGTGGTACCAATTATTATTGTACTATTATAATTTTAAATCGAAAAACACAATTTTCCATACTAAAATTTTGCCATTGAAATAATTTTAAGAAGTTCAATTAAATAATGCAATATTTTCAAATCATGTTTTCATCAGGATTAATAATTTGCTGTCAAAATGTCAACTAACAGATGAATACATTTCATTATAGAAACCAACGGCCAACAGTCGACAATCCCTTACTATTTAAGTAATTATATAGGTACCTACTAATATAATATACTTACTTTTCTTATACTTCCAAAAAATAATTGTAATTATTTATTAGGAAATAATAGTATTGACTTTAAAGAAATTAAATTGAATTATATGATACATAACATTTAATTATAAATTAATTGATTTCATCATAATTGTAAATTAACTTTTTACTATTCATTATGATACAATGGTGATTGATTCTGTTTAAGTCTAAAACTGTATGGACTTATTACTTTACACTAAAATTGACTTCAAAAATTGAAATCTAAATTTGCTATAGTGACTACTGACTAAAAAAATCACTAATCAAATTAAAAATATAGGTACTATTCTGCGGGTTTAATTATAATTGCTAATTGTTGTGTTGTGTGTATCTTTAGCTTTCAGCTGTATTGCTACTGGTTTGTAATTTATACATTTTAATCATACTACTATAATATACAGGGTGATCCAACAAGTATGCTCACCCCCTTTTTTCTTTAATAATGGAGTTTTTCAAAATCTGATTTTCGGAATCTTTAAATATACTCAAAGACCATATTTTTCAAACTTTTGAGATTTTTTGTGCCACTTAAGGAGTGTACTGTAACGATACGAACCTTTGTTTTTCAAATGAGAACTCCACTTTTTTTCTTTAAATTATAAAGCGGATAATTTTTTTGAGAATTTTGTTGTTTCGAAATCAAAATTCGAAGGAGTGGTTTTCTAGTTCTTGAACAATTTGTACTAAGCCCATAATAACGATATGCTCATACAGTTCTACACATGGAATAAGAAAAATAACTTAATAAACCAGGAAGGATTTTACTTCCTACTTAACTAAGTGGTTGACTAAATAAATATAAAATGAAGTATTATTTTATATTATGTGTATAAACTATAGATAACAACGTACTATACTGTATTACTATGTAAGCATATCCTTCTTCCCTATTATAAACTATATTATCCTTAGCACAAAATGTGTAATAACTAGAAAACTACTCGTTCGAATTTTGATTTTAAGGATTCCAAAAATCAGATTTTGTAAAACTTTATTATTAAAGCAAAAAGGGGGTGGGCATACTGGTTGGATCACCCTGTATAATATATTTATATATATGTATAAATGAATGATACGGAGTCAAATAAATACTTAATGTAAAACGAGGTGGAGTTTTTGGATTTAACACAATATTATTAACTGTTCCAATATTTGTGCTTAAAATCTAAAGTTCACATCAATTAGTATCAGTTGTAAACATGTTGTTTAATCAATGCTTATTTATATATTTGCTATAGTGGATTGTATAACAATATAATGATTTATGATATTACATTTTTGATGTGTAGAATAAATTTGGGGAATATTAACGAAATAATGAACCTGTATGAAATTAAAATGGGAAATTTCTAAAGTCAAATGGCTTTAATGGGATGGTCACGTTTGGCGGGTGAATAGATGACTTCTACACAGAACTCCCCTCCCCTCTGAAAAAATGACCAGGGCCCAAGGGGACTTTTCTAGCTGTGATAGGATAGGGAGAGGAAGGATCGAGTAAATAGAATTGAATAATGCAATGGACCTAAATAAATGGACAAGTTCGATAGAACGTCGTAAAAAGGGACTCAATGGTCTGTAAACAAAAAAAAAATTAAGAATACATTTATGAAAATAATTGTTTCCTAATTTAAACAAATTTTCGGTCTGAGAAAACTTAAAGTAAACTAATAAAAATCATGATGCAACCCAAAATTGGTATTGCATATAAAATCATTTTTTGAAAAGGATTATGATGTATCACTTTTTCGATTGTACATGGCACAGATTCGTCATTTTTAATTCGTAACATCAGGGCAGCTTCATTGGATAAGTCTAAAAGTGTTCCATTTGTTCTTGGAATGCGATCGTTTACTGTGATGACTATCCTCCTTCCGCCGTGTGACACTTTGATTAGTGTATATGGAGGTAAACTATTGTGGGCTGCATTTACCACGTCAAATTCATTATTCAGATAATCAATATCACTTTCATCAGTCTGCATGTGGAATTCACAGATTCCTTTTTGATCTAGTTATTGTATAATCAAAATCAAGAGATAAAATGCATTAAATAATGATATTATAGGTACCTGTAGGGTTTGAATCAAAATCAAATTCTAACGATCGTTGCTGACAAGCACCATAAAACCATTGAAATGATTTTAAACAATATTTTGAACAACAATCTTCGTCATTATAGCAAATGTCATTCAAATTTTTACACAATAAAGTTTCTAGGACATTGCAGGTTAAACCTAAAATTGATAACAAAAAATATAATACTTAGTATTTTATAATACAATAAAATAAATAAATAATACATTTTGTTTTCACGTGGGTCATTCGTTCCCCACTCACACCTATAAACTTTGATTATATGACTCCTCTTTGCACACTACACTTCGCTGAAAGCGTCTACGACCTCTCACATTTTTTGACTGTCCCCTGTTACATACCAAACGTACAATTTTACTAAGTTACTTGAAGCTCTTGAAACCTCCTTAACCAACCTCTTCTCTACTCTCAATATAAAACTTGAAGTGATCATCAAAAAAATTATTGTTATATTAGAAATTAGTTATGTTACTGTCGTAATTATCGGTATTATTTAAAATAACTGTCGAACTGTCATTGTCATTGACTAAAAGCTTTTCCAATAGAAATAAAAATCAATTGAAAAGATAGCTACAATTGATAACAATTAGTATTTTTAACTAGGTATTTTGAATTAATATGTTAATTGTATTTACTATTATTATTTATTATTTATGTCTCATGTGTAGTGAATAGTAATAGAGTTTATTTTCGGATTACTCAAGTAGGCGATTTCCCAACAAACGTATTTTCGATAGAAACATTATTATATAATACAGATATCAATTACTGGCGTAAACAACAATTTTCAATGGAGAGGGAGGCTCAACTTGCCTGCGCATGTGTACGGCACTGATATTATTATTATTAAATTTTCATTGTATGGATGAAATCACTTTTAAATTATATTTCCATTTCCCAATTCCTAGATATCTCTAAGTGATTTTAACAACACTTATATAAGTTAGATTCTTAGATTACGTGCCACAACTATAGAATTTCCTATTCAGTATTCACTTATCATATTATGAGAAATATATATTTCACAAAAAATAAAACTCAAAACAAGACCAGCATCACTCGTCCCTCCTCCCTCCTTATACTACAAATTTTTTGGTTAAAAACGTATTTACCTGAAATATTGATGATTGAAATTAACGCAATCAAAACAAGCAAAGGTTTCTTCATTTTTTTTACTTAAGAATTTCATTTATGATTTTTTCATTAGTACTTTGTCATATTGACAACTCGTTTCAATGTGAATCGAACAATGAATACACGACACACGTATGTAATAATATTGAAGTGAGATAAAATAATAAATTATTATTTCATTATAATAATGATATATTTATAAATCTAATTAAATATTTTATATAGTGAATGCAATGTGTATGATACAAACAATGTGCGATAAGGCGATAAATATATTAATATTCATCAACAATCCGGTTTACGCACAGTTTGTACAGTGTGCTGGTGAAGTTTGTTCAAACTTGGATTGTTATAATAATAATATGCATATCAGAAAATATTCAGTATTATATTTAGAGATATATCATACCCCAGACAGTTTTTTTGATTTTCAGTCTGACTCTCCATTTAAAGATTCGACATCTCTCCTCAAATTTATACTTGAACAATTTATTTTCCAATCAATATTTAATATTTAATAATACAACAAATGTATGTTTATTATAATAAACAATTGCATTATAATGTTTAGAATAATTTTTGCTTATGCGTAACTGTTAGACGAGAAGCAGGCATTTCAAACATACTGTCAGAAGCCCTCCACCCGGACAACATAAATCATATGATAACTTTTATTACTAAGTCCAAACTTATCAATAATATTTAATATGTAAGCTATATATCATGTAAATAATTTAGAGTCAAACTCTTTGTTGCCAATGGCCATAGTTGCCAAGGCTTAATTCAAATAAAAAATATATATATATATATTTGCTTATTTTTGAGTACACACGTGCTTTTGATATTTATACATTTGTACATTATTACATGGTTCCCAAACAATTTTTGGTTGAAATGGGAATCGAACCATTTTAGTTTTAAAACAAATTATACATGTATAATTATAGATTATTATAATTACAGATCCCAAATTTCAGAGATGGATATTAAAAAAACCGTCTAAGAATGTAAGATATGGAAAAAAACTTTTATTTATAGAAAGTATGTATATGCATATATTACCGTTGATTTTTTTTGGTTAGGTCTTAAAAATGATATCGTCCAAACTCAACAATTCTTCGAGGAAGATGTTTTACAACCTTTAGCTTGAGGTAGGTACACATGAATAAAAATTACACAAGGCTCAAATCATGGGTATGGTGAGGTCCATGCAACTTTTCGCGTTATGGTTATAAGTTAAGCCTCGTTCACACGGTGGTCGGTGACAGTTGCATGACACCAGTGTCGTAATATCAACGAAATTAGATATACGACACTAGTGTCACGACACACAATATCACTAGTGTCATACTCATTAGTGTCACCGTGTGAACGAGGCTTTAAAACCATATTGTTCACTTGGCCAATCACTCCATTCTACCACTCTTGGTAATGCCACCAACATTTTTTATTATGTAAGATTCCAATATGTCGCACTTTGTATAATCATATACAATATTACATTAAATTATTATAGCGTATGTCTTTAACTATATTATCAATCGACAATTAGCGTTATATTGTTTATGTTGTGCTCTGTTTTATTTTATATGAATCATAAAATTAAAAATAGTCATATTAAATCGTATTGTCGTGTAGTAGGTATATAACGTAAAAGGGCACAGTGTATCTATTTGTTTATTATAATATATATTTTGTAAGCCTGCAGCGTAATAAATAAAATTCCAAATAAAAATAAAAATAACTGGACAATTTAGGTTTCGAAGATTTATTTTTTTTCTTACAACTAAAAATATGTAGGGATATAACTCAGTGATTGTTAAACTATTAAACTATTGTTAACTATTAAAAATCACTACGTACCATAACAATTTACATATTATTGGTCACATTAAGTCATTAAATATATAAATGTTCGGTCGGCGATAAGAGTATCTAAGTTCAAATTTATTAATAATCGTAGTCACATATGTTTAAAACGATTCTTTTCGTCTCAGTTTCACGGCGAATTAATTTCACAGTATTATAGTGTTGCTAATGATATACTATAGACAGTCTACAATTGATAAAACTATTCGAACGTTAAAGGTTTGAAGCAAAAATGAAGGAAACTACAGTTGTTTGGGCCAAGCTATTTCTAATCCTCCTAATTTTAGGTAAGTTTACTGGCAATTTTTCAAACAAAATAGGCAAGTCGATTTTTCTGAAAAAATGAAATCATAGAAGCGTTAAAACCCTAAAGAAGAAAGGATCTATTTACTATTTAGGTTTGTTCATGTATGAGTTTCTAATCTTATAGTATAGTAGAAACAAGTCGTACCTCGTCTTTTACTGATTTTAATTTCTAAATAATGCAAAACTTCCGAATGATAACATGGAACAGAGAATTCGTTATTTTAGTGTTTAATCATTTACGTTTTTGCATTAATATTTAATATTATAAGTTAAGTATAATATTGTCATATGCGAAAATTGAGTTTTAAATTTGGTGGGGGCAACAATTTTTACTAAGTAAATTCATGGGGGGCTGGCTATGCCCCCTACATAGCTACACCTATCTTGATTAAGCTGTATATTCTAAAAAAATTAAACATATTTTCAACATGTTAGTTTTTTAGTGTTTTTAGATTATATCAGCTACTAAGGCCAGTAGTTACAATTTTTTGTAGAAACATTTTTTTTTTGTTAATGAACATTTTGATAGATTCAAAAAACATTTAAAGATAATACAGTACTTACTATTTGCAGTTCCACATTAGGGAGTTATATTGCGATACTTATCATCTTAATTTGGTTGAACAGGTCGAAAGTCAAGTGGTTAGTTCTTCTATGTTAAGATCGCGTCTAAGTTGGTTGGGATGTTGAGTTTTTCATGTCAGTCCTCGCATTAATTATGGCATTCAGTTATTAAGTGCTGAACAGTTAATAGACGCCGCGACCGCAGGTTGAGCGCTGAGGTAGTTTCTTTTTAGCCATTAGGAACTTACGGGTTATCCTTGTGTGAAATGATTGATTACTATTTGTTCTCTTCTGATCAGATTAGGATTTGATCATTGATATATTGTATTTTTGTTATCTCAAAGTTTGGTACGTTGTCTCAACCAGTGGTCTTGCCATCTAATTTGAATAAATTTTTGGATTTGGTTTTGATTTTTTAAATCTGCGTATATTGTTATGTTTAAATTTGTAATTTGTTAAAGATTAATAAACTGCAAAATAAATAATAGCCAATAGGTAATTACTTTATTAAAAAATTATAGAGTGTATTTAATAATGTTGATTAAACCGCGGAGCTACTATACTATTACTATATACTATTAATATGTTATTTTGTTTCTACAGCTAAACCTCTTGGTCTTAAAGGTAACCATGAATGCAAGCACCTCGGAAACAATTCGTGTTTAAGCCACAGTGAATGTTGTTCTGGTTATTGTTATAGGGAACCCGGTTGGGAATTGGGAGTATGTAGAAAAGCACACAGTCCCGAGAAGCCAGTCGAATCAAATGGCAAAAAACACAAGGAGCACTCACATGCCAGAATAGATGACATTTGTAATTATCTCTATTATGTAATTTATAGATAAATACAATATACTACATAGTACACGATTTTTCTGCAATTTAGACGAAAAAGGCGTTTGTGGGTATTACTCAGGAGGGGAAATTACTGCAAACGGTGATGTGTTCGACGAAAACGAAATGACCGCCGCTCACCAGACGTTGCCGTTCGACACGATGGTCAACGTGGAGACCATGGGTACCAGTGTGGTGGTCAAGATCAACGACCGTAAGACTGCTGCGGACGGACAAGTATTGCTCTTGTCACGTGCGGCGGCCGAGAGTATGAACATCGATGAGAATACGGGCCCTGTACAGTGTCAGTTAAAACTGACCAAAGTGGGCTGCATTCCAAATTTCGGAGACCCGTGTGTGATGCACCACGAATGCTGTTCACGGTACTGTTTCAAGGAAATGTATTCAGAGAAAGGGTTTTGCATACCAAAATAATTAGACGAAAGCCGAGTTGCAGTCCGGTCTAGCGACGTTGATTAGCCAGTGCAAACGAAATAGTACTATAATCCGTGACTAATTGATTCAGTTTCCGCCATTGAATAATATACCATACTTTAATCATATTTAACCGCTCATTATTTTGGAAATAATTATTAAATAAAAACATCTATTCAAAAATCATCAAGAGCAATGTAATCATTTCATTTAAAATAAAAACTAGGTACCTATATATTGCTCTAAGAATGTCTTCAGTAACAACTATCAAGTATTTTTGTTAAGCTTTCTTCTTTAATATAATTTAAGATTATTATATAAAATATGCATAAATATGTATAATATTTAAAATAAAAGTTTAAAAAAGTGGGTACCGCTCTGCTGTACAGTAGTAGTCACTAGTCAAGCATACCATTGTAATGGATGTATTATATTTGAATTCAATGATAAATCATTCCATACGAAAAACGATTCTGAGCGGATACATTGTGCCATCCCAGCACACTTGTATAAATAATCAAATTTAATATTTAAAAAAATAATAATAATACAAATTGAAAAACAAAAATTTACCATGGCTATAAATAGCACAGCCTACCGGTGAAATTTTTTTTTTGACAAGGCTTGTCACTTAACTCAAAGTGCATTTATTAACATTTTGAAATATAGAAGGAGTTTTCGGTAATAATTGTATAATGATGATAAGTTCAAGAAGTTACGAAAAAGTTTTTAAAATTAAGATATTTCGAATTATTTATTGTCCTTGTCCATATGGGCTATTTTACTAAATTAATAAAATATTAATTTGGTAAAAATTATGTTTTTTTTAAACTTTCATTTGTACAAATCTTGTATTTTTATGATTTTCAAATCGTTCGATTTTGAATTACATTTATATAATAAGATACATTCTATGAATTCTACACAGGTAATAAAATTAAAATGTGAACTAAATTTATTTTTAAAAAGATCTTTTATTCATAATATGATTTATTGATATGATATGATCTTTTATATTTCTCAAAACATAGTGTATTTCATAGTAATACGTGTAATAAGTAATATCCATAGAATTCATAGAATGGTTTTCAAATGCAATGGTTAATATTTCATAATTGTTTTCAAATTTAGAATGATCCACTATTTAAAGTTGACTTAGTTAGCGATATGATCCGTTGAACGGCGTATTGTATAGGCAATAGAGGCGCTTTAATACTGTATTTAATACTTAAATATTAAACTTCAAGAACTATCGCAGTCTGCTCATATTGTATCGTTGATCAATGGTATGCTAATATTTCTGTTCCTTGAAACGAAATAAGGATATATTACTATAACCAGCTCCGTTTCTGGCTGGTTTTCTTTTTAAAGATCCAACACCGGATCCCATAAAATGTCTATTACCCGAGTACCAAACTTTCTATGATAGATTAGCCTCGGTGATTTTATACAGTGGCGTATTAATGTAATTAACAAACACTGTACTGTTCTCATTATTTTTCATTTATTTATCAGACATTGTACATTATTATTATTTTTTTTTTATAAATACTGTGTATTTGTTATTATTTAATCTTACATCAATTAAAATAATTGTATACTTTCATTTAGTGATGTGAATTTGTATGATATCGTATTTGTTTGAGACAATATTTAGAGTTCAGAAAAATCGATATGTCATATTTACCCTTCAAAATATTATTCTCTATAGTTATTGTAATCTGTTTTGAGCAAATGTGGGTGAGCTACAAATAATTAAAAATGATATTTCATCATTTTACATTTATTTTTATGAACGTATAAAGTAACTACAAATATTGATAACTGTAAATTATTTTAACAGCCAGACAGATCAGCATATAAGTAATTAAAATTAACTACCTATTATGTCAAAGATATTAAATATAATTTGAAATGAATGTTTCTTAAATCAATTATTATTTTAGACATTAAGACAATAAAAGTCTTTAATCAGTCTTAACATGACTTATATATAACATGGTTATACCAAAACACAATTCAGCCTGATTTTAGTGTTTATTAATTCAATAAAATACTCATGTATAATACGACAAATCCTATGTTATACCCCGAGTTTTACTTGTGTGCTTGCTTTGCTTATTTTGAAAAATATAGAATATATTTTTCATATTGTGCTCTATTCGGTATTTCTAATAAAAATTTAAAAAAATAATTTTCAGTTCATCAGTTGTACCATTATTTTAGGAACCAGATAGGTACTTAGTCTTGTTTGGCATAATATGAAATGATGTTTGTGTATAGAAATTAATAAACTATTAAACGTTTTCAATAAACTGGCAAAACTGGATAAAAATAATAACAATGTATTTATATTAATGTTTTGTTTGTATTTTATTCATGCAAACAATTACCTGATTTATTTTATTTGTATAAAATATAAATGATTGTTGATGGGTTAAATAAAGACTTATTGAAAAATCAGGTTGAGTTTTCAGATCGAACACAAAAAAAAATTGACTTTTACAATGTTTGCGCTTAAAATCTAAAGTCTGCATCAATTTAATATTAATTTGTTCCATTAAAGAGTTAAATAAATGTATTGTCTTGGTTATACTAAAAAAAACCTGAACAAGAACGTAAATAAAGCAAGATAAGGTAACGTATATTCAAGATATTTGTAATATGGATTATTCTCCAATTCGGGTACAATAGATATTGTGCAAGGTATTTTTCCTCCGTTATCAATATTTAATGCCCTAGCTGTTTCTTTGGAAAACTCCAGAATTACTTCATTGTTTTGCGAAGGACGATTATTTATTGTTACTATAAATTTTTTATCGTCCAGCTTCACTTCGACTCTTGTACCGGGTTCTAATACTGCGTGGGCTGCATTAAAACTGTAGCTAAAGAACATTCCATCACTAACTGTCTCAGATACCTGGTTGTTGGTGTACGAACATATTCCTGTTTGTTCTTCTTGGTACATAATAAAGAAAATACATTATTATTGCTATTGTTTTAACTATATTATAGATTAAAATTTACCTACATTATATTTATATAAACATATTACACATAAATAATAAATAATATTTGTTATATATACCTTTAGTCCTGAAGTAGGATTTCAGTGAATGGTATAAGTTAGTATTATCATTACAATAACTTCTAAAGGAAAACAATGAGAAAGAACATTTCTCATAACAACAGTCATAGTCACTTGAACATTCCTCATTTATACTTTTACATGAATCAAACTTATGACAGATTATTCCTGAAATAAATAAACAAAAACAATTTGAATTATTGTTTTAATAATATTATAATAATTTTTATGGGAGTTAATAGACATCTCAAGTCTTACTTATTATTTAATTCGAATTCAACAATTTTACTAAATAATGTTTAATTACATACAAATGATTATTAATAGGTAATTTATTCTCTAGTAGAATTGTTGAATGAATGATTAATTTGGACATATTTTTTGGATCATTTAATATATAAATATTTACTCCCCTAAAAATTATGCTAGGTATGGTTCTCTTGTTGTAGTAGTAAAAGTAAAAATTGAAGGACATGCATTACAATTAATAATAATCTTATTTTATTATTTTATTATTATTTTCTTCAAGGATTCAAAAAAAAAAGTATTTACCTGAAATCGTGCATAATAATAAATATAATGTAATGAAAACACTTGCAGGTTTCTTCATTTTTGTTTTTCTGTTAAAATTATATATGAACTTCTATTCTAACGTGTTTACTGGTTTTCGCTCGATCAGTGAATAAAATAATGAATATATTGACGTCTGATTGATGTGTAATCCAATGACATTTAAGTCTTAAGAGAAAATTAACCAAATAACTCTGTAACGAGAGCAATTATTCTGCGTTAATTGCTGCTCTTTTTTCATATAGTTTTGTACAATGTACCTAATATCATTGATTGTATATTATCTTAGTTAATATGTTTAGCTATTATGACATCATATTATCGCACGCATTGTAAATACTAAATAGTACTATGTGCCTTCATATTAAATAATAATTTTAATTGATAGAAATAAGTTAATATATTAATACAGTAACACTGTTATAGATCAGTGATTCCCAATCGAAGAAAAATCCGTCCCACCAGAGTTAAACTTCGATAATGTAAGGAAAGGAATACATTGTAGTTAGGAAATTACAATAATAGCATTAAAATAAATGAAAATCAAATTATGTCATAATAAACATTAAAATAAAGAAATACATCTAAAAATTACAAATTAGACACAAATTATTGCTACCAGAAACCACTAGCTATCGCATAAATCTATTACTATAATATACACGAAATGCTTGTTAAATAATAATAACGGGGACTCATTGGCGATGCGCATCGTTTTATAGGTTGGTCGGTTATGAGAATAGCTAAATGTGATAAATGTAGAAAATATAAGTGAGTGAAAATAAGGGGTTCTAAAACTAAGTTGACTAACAAGTAACAACTGAAGGCAAAACAGTCTACTGGCTTAGGTAACTCTATAAATTAGAGTACAATTATAATTTATAACGGAATCTGTACGTATTCACACAGAGCTCTCCATCGTTAGGTATCATTTGAAAATAATAGTTTGATTGGCAAATCACCTGCAGTTGAAGCCCCAGATATCAGATTGAAGAACACAAAAAATACAACGAACTTCGCAAAACATCCGGCTGTAGTGCAGAGATTCTGGTAAGCATCATTCATTTAAAAAACAACTATAGATCAATTATTGATGATTTATAATCAATTTAATACAATGTTTATATTGTTTAATTGGTATATATATCTCCGTATGCTTTATTTCTTTATAAGACTATTTAAAATGATATATTGTATTCAGTTTTACATACAATTAAGTAGTCATATATTAAATCGTTCTATATATCACACAAGTCTATTGATTTATTACAATACATTATTTTGTACACTAAATTACAAAAAAATTCAAAATCAACATAATTGCAGAATTCAGTTATTCAAGTTTTATAATTAAAAAGAAAAGGCTTAAAATCTAGGTAAGGAATTATGAGCATATTAAAAAACACTATGTGTCATAACGATTAATATATTATTATTTATTGGTCACATTAAGTCATTAGGTATATTATTATTCAGTTCAGTGATAAGAGTGGGTTTTATCTGAGTTCAAATGTATTAATAATTGTGGTCATATTATTATATGATTACAATTAAAAACAAAACCATTTAAGGTTTTTTTCCTAAAGCGTTCCACGGCGTATTCATAGTAGTGTTGCTAATGAGTAATGACAATATATTAAACTATTTGAATCTTGAAGGTTTTAAGAAAAAATCGATATTGTGTTTTTAGACAGAAGATCTTAAATTTTCACCAGATATTTAAATTAGTATTACTGGAATCAAAAACGATTTTGAAAAAATTTAAAATTGTTTTTGTATATAAATGTTTGAAATAGGTCACTCGGACAGGTGTGGTAAAATCATGCATCAAATCATTGCGTTTACATGGCCTTGATTAAAGCAGCTATATCATACAATCAAATGTATGCTTGGAGGTTATATACTTAAAAAATACTGGATTGAAAATCTCAGGTATTGTTTTCAGAGATATTAGAAAAGTTTAGAGAATAGTTTTAAAAATATACCAATTGCTCAATCTATTTCTCGAAAGTATTGACAAAAACTGAATTTTTTATGTCATTACATATTTTGCATTAATTACTTTTTACTATTAACCCACAAATATAGTTGAAACACGAAAATTTTTTATTGTTTTTTATTTATATATTGTTGTCAATGATCACAGAAAATAAAATAGTTATTAGGGTTGGATATAATTTTAGACTTGTGTGTAGTATATTATTTAATTATTATTATTATATATTATTATATTTGGTCAAAATAACTCAAATAACTGTGTTAAAAATCGGCATAGTTTACATTTAATAGAGTTCAACACTTAAGGGGGTTAAAAGGAAGCAAAATTGAATTTATCTTCTACATGGAACCGCCGAAGCTATGAGAATGAAATTTGGTCAGTAGTTTATTTTTATGATCTAGAGATTCCCCACAACAATGGACACGGAAATAGCTCTGTATGCGGATGATAGTGTAATATATTCTATCTCTGATAATGCAGATAAGGTAATAGATAATATTCAAACTCATCTCGACGCAGTTCAAAAATGGGCACAAAGTTGGAAAATTGCACTCAACCCATCAAAAAGCTCAGCAGTCCTATTCACGTTACGAAGACCCAAATACTATAATACATTAAAGTTCAACGGTCAAAACGTAGCTTGGTATCACAATATTAAATACCTTGGAGTCTTATTAGATAAAAAACTCACTTGGAATCCTCATATATCATCGAAATTACAGCAAGGATACCAACGCTTAAAAATATTATATCCACTTATAAATCGGCAAACTTCATTGAACTGGAAGTGCTCATTATTATTATTTAATCAAATAATTCTCCCTTTAATTTTATATGCAGCCCCGGTCTGGGGTCAATGTGCTACAACTCATATACACAAAATGCAAGTATTACAATCAAAAGTCCTACGTGTAATTTCAAATGCCCCATGGTTTGTTCGAAATGACGCACTGCACACAGATTTCAAAATTCCAACTATCAAAAACTACATAAAAGAATTATCTGTAAGCTTCTTTAACAAATTATCTAAAGCAAGTGGTCCACAGCACTTCAGGCTTCACTGCTTCAGCGATTCACCCATCCAAACAGTCGCAGACTCCAACGCGGCCGTCCACACGACGTCCTAAATCTTTTATCTACTATTGTATTATGTAAATATTGTCTTATATTTTATTATTTTTATTATCTGTTAATGTTTCACAATCGTATCCCATTCAGTATATTTTAAATTATAGTTTTAACTATTTATACCATAATTGTGATCTAATTTATAAATGTTAAAAACTAGTTAATTCTTTACACCTAAGTTTAGATGATGTCGACTGGCGGGAAAAATTTATATTAATACAAAAAAAAATCTGGAGATGATCCATTAAGAAAGAATTTTCCCAAATTTTAAAAATAGAAAACGTTACATTTTCTTGGTAGAATTGTTTGGAAAAAAGTTATAGGACAAAAAAATTACACTCGTGCGAAGTTGCTGTATTAGGCTCAATAATTAGTGAAGACAGGCAATTTTTTATTTTTTAACATGATGCGTTGAACGGCGTATTGTATAGGCAATAAAGGTACATTACTGTGTTTAATATCAAAGTTTTGTTGTTATTATTGCAAATTGCAATATTGTTATATGTTGATACACACAATTTTTTAACACCATTTAATTATACTTAATCAATTTAGGTAGGTAGCTCTAGCTAGTATGATGTTAGTAGGCTTAATACATTGTTTATTTTTGGGTCAAATATTATTCTGACTATTAAAACATGAATAAATTATTGGAATATAGATAAATTAAATATATTATTATGATCTATAAGGCTCATGAATTAAATTAAATATCCACTTTCTCTACCCTCTATACCAATGGTCGGCAACTGGCTAACTACAGTCCGAATATGAACCATGGAAGACAGAAAACTGTCAAAATACCTGTTTTGTCTTTATATCACTATTATCAAAACATAAAGATTTGACAAAGATTTTTTGTTTGGCTCAACATCATTTATTTGTTATTTTAATTTTCTGACTCCAATAGAAATTCCTTACAGATCTTTGATCCATACTATGTGAAGAATATTACTAGAAGATAGAGGTTAATATTCCATTGGCACTATGTGTCTAACCAAATGAGTAAAAATGTTAAGATACATCACAATATAATGTAAACCTAACCTAACACAAGTTGAGGCTTTTAAAATGTTGGCTATAGATGCTGTTTATATTTATTCAGTAATTTTTAGTAACTTTACTGCAATTTGCAAAACAAATATTTGTACACTTATAATATTACGTTGTATATATTGTATACATAATTGTACATACTTTCGTAATCTAATGTTGCTATAGAGAACTCTATTGTTTTGGGTTTAAAGGGACACCAAGGGATTATTTGAACATTGGTACCACTGTGGTCCCAGCTGTTATCTGGAATTTAATTTTCTTAGAGGTGTCCATCGTTTTCTTGTAGTTTCATAATTTCATCCCTGCACGGCGGGCCGCACATTTGATACACTTAAAACTACAATTCTAGGCTGAAATATGATCACCTCAAGGGGACTTCAGTTAATGAGAAACTTTTCAACAACAGCAGCTCGAAATGGTCATGCATATGGTGGACCTGGATCTAATTTGCCATTTGATGTAAACAGCAAGTATAAATTTACAGCTCTACTAGCAATATATTTCAGTACCGGGTTTGGACTTCCGTTTCTGATGGTCCGGTTCATTAAACACAGGGCACTATAAAAGATCCAAAGAGAACTATGTAATTGACAATGTAGAGATTGTTTATGGAAAAAAAAAATGTTAACACTAGTCAGTAGTTTTAAGCAATGTATTTTTTATGTTTTGTTTGTACTTTGTAATAATTTCTTCTTTAATAATTGTCAACTGAAGCAAAATTGTACTTAATATTTTTATCAAATAAAATAATTAAGAGAAGTTGTTCATTTAGATATTATTTATAAGATAAAATTCTCATAACAAAAGAGTGATTTTATACCTCTATTTTAAATTACAAGAAACACCCTAACATAATATGTTTTATTCTTAATGGCCGCACATCTATATTGAGATGAAAATTATTCTCATGTTTTAAATAATTTAACACAATATGTAATTATCATTACCTACTGTTTATTATTTATTTTTTAACGTGTAATATAATTTAAAAACAAGGTAATGTATAATTTTACTCTTAATGGTTTTTTAGTTAATAAATTGAATTATTAAATTTAAAAAATATTTCAAGAGACAAATGGAGTGTTATACAAGTAAATACTTTTGAAAGGAAAAATTAAATGGTTTATAAAAGTACATAATACAAGTTTCATGTTTAATTATAGAACGGATTGTATGTTATCCAATGAGCTCGAGTTTGATTCTTGTCGTCCTCATGACTTGTGAATAATGACTTATACACATTGGTTGCTGTTTTGTCTTTAGAAATACTATGTGCAAGTTTTGCTTTTTTATAGACAGGATCTTCTAATTTGCGGCAGTTAGCAGATCCAACGGAGGAACTTGATCCAGCAGCATTAGTGATTGGTCCTAAATCAATTTTAATATAATTAATATTAATAACTTTAATAACAAGAATTAATGATAAAAATTGTCATACTTTTTATTTGTTCTTTCTTTATTTGTTCCTTTTTTATTTCTTTCTTGATATCAATTTTTTCAGTTTTAACAGGTAAGAATGTTGGAATAATTGGTTTTTCATCTTCATCAACTGGTTCGTCTTTAATTACAACTTCAGGTTTTATTTTAATTTTCTCAGAATTTTTTTCACTCTTAATCTTATCTTTGCGTTTTGCCAATTTAGTTTTCATTAATGTTATATCTTCTTCGGTCGGATTCAACACAACTATATCATCATCCTCATATTCCTTTACACAATTTACACACTTGTTATCAGCACCTAGCTTGAGACCTCTCTCAGATATAACACATCCGCATTTCCATAAGAAACAGAATTTTGATCTATCATTCATTTCAAGACCAACTAGAGGGCATATGTAAGGTGAACAATTATCATCAGTATATCCTCCAACACTTTGAGCTTTCTTGTTGAATGCTGGATTAGGAGTCAATTTCAAAGCTTTTATATCCTACAAAGAAATAAATTTAATTTGTATTATTAAACGTATATTAATCAAAAGATATACCAACATACTTTTAAACCCTTGATGTGTGCTGAAGCTTCAGGAAATGGAGTTTTATTTATTAAATGTTGTAAAACTGATTCCTTATTGTACAAGAGACCCATGCCACAAGCGACTATTGGCGGTCGAAGTGGTCCTTGAGTCAAGTGACAATTACGCCAACGGTACAACTGCATGGACGATTTATCTTTCTAAAATTCCAAAAACAATAATGAAAAATACAATTCAATTAATATGATTGTAAGCAGGAAAAAATGAAGTATTTTATTATATCTATTAATATTAGTAGATCAAATTTCTAATTTTAATTTAAGGGTTTTTTTTAACCTAACCTTACCTTTTCTATACATGTACCTCTAAAATAAGCAAATTATAACCACAAATCCTTTCCCTACTCATTTTTTATTTTTATTTTTTACTTCTTAATATTCCAATGTTAATTTAAACTTCAGTATGATATCTGTTGTTGTTCTGATTGCATGGTTTTATTGTTTACTTAAAATCTTGAACTATCCATAGACATAATATTATGTCTATATTATATCTTTGGAACCATTTTGAAGAGAGCTTTATCGTTTTAAACATCTAATCTTTTACGTGGTTTAGTTTTTATTGAAACCATAATCTACCAATAAAGACAATGTGGTATTTGGACGTTTCCCCCAGGACAGAGACATTTTTCACCTGAATCAACATATATTTTTATTACACGTGAAACGAATAAATATTATATGTTGAAAATATGTTTTTTGGTTATACCCGAAATATACAATCATCATATCTATTGACTATCATAATTTACGTTTTTATTAAAGCTTTACAGATGAGTAACTCAAATGCATCAGTAGACATTTTAAATTATTGAGTAGGAGCTTTTGGTAATAATTTAAATAAGAAGACAGGTTAAAAAATTAAGTACAATTTTTTCAAATTATGATATTTAAAATTTTTTAGTTTCTGTGAGCTATACTACCAGAATAAAAAGTATAAATTATATTTTGTTTTACTTGTATTATTTAATTATATCATATTTATAATTTGTTCTTGTATAGTGTTTAATATTTTTAATATTTATATTAGTGAATTTTCTATTGCCAGTTGGCAATTTTTTTTTTTTATCCGAGAGGATTTTGTCTTGTTCGGGGGAGAAACTTCCGCTGTATCGGAGGCAAAAAGGCCCGGAGGGGGGACATCCTAGATTCTGACAATGTACATCAAGATCAATAGCCTAGATTTTGATTATAATTCAGGACCAACTCATCAATTTTCTATATGTCCATGATAGACCACCAGTTAAGAACTCCTGGATTTAAATATAATACAAAAATTGATACTTAATTTATCTAGATAAATTCCATTTTTTACACAAAACTTTTCATCCTAGTAAGATATATGGCATTTCTACTTTAACAATGTTTATTGTTAATGTTTTTTTATTCATTATTATTTATATAAATGTATGATGAAACAAGCAAATACTTATTAATTGCACAATGTTGACTTTATCGAATCAAATTAAAAGATGAATGAAAAACAAGAAATTATTATTTCCACTCTTGGTGCTCACTATTTAGGTGCTGACTTCACTATTACTAATATGATCATTAATTGTTTTCGACCTTGTATGCAGTATAAACTAAACATTTCAATGTTCCCGTATGGTTATCTAGAAACCATTCAATCTTTAATATTAATTCCCAATCTCTCTTCCAAGGCCACAATCAGCTTATGAACAGAATGCAACGTTACATTATTATTATTATTATTTCGTATGGCGAATGTTACATTAATTCTATGGATTGTAATTGCTAACTAACTGTCAACTGAATGTGGTTGTGGAACTGTGGTTCTAACTTGTTCCAATGTTAATTTGCTATTTATTTAATTTGTGGTCATTTTAAAAATATTGCAATACTTGTGACTCAAGGAGTACAATGGGGTTGGATATGAAAATCCTAATGACTCAATTGGGATTACATTGACATTTTATAGTTGGTCATCGTAGATTGAGAATGTAACCATTAAACCATCTATTATTATTTATTATCATGTACAAATGTACAATCATTGGTGTTACACAAGAATTGGTTCTTAATTAACTCTTGATGAAAGTATAGTACATACCTGTTCGGGTTTCTTTTTGGTCCGTACCAGCTCGTCCCTCTTAGGAATAGTTCCACCATCGCATCCCATCTCTAACAATTATAATTCTTCAAATATTAAATTATGCTCAAACAAAAATACAAATATATAGGTAGAACTATTTGATAGTAACATAAAGTAACAATTATGGAATAAGTAAACAAACTACAAATTTTACAATACTGAAGTCATAGCCCATATATTGTATTATACTATTATTATTATTGTATTCTATGATAAGGTCCGGATAAAGCATAGATAATAAAGATATGGATAGGCCACGCCTATGTTAAATACATTTGAGGCCGCGTTCCCGGAGGGGAAGGCAATTGAGGCTCCTTTATATTGATAGTCGATACTCAATATAGGTATACTTTATTTGGCCTCAATTGTTCCCCTCGATGACCGCTGATAAGACCAATATGTCCTATCCATATCTTTATTATCTATGGGATAAAGGTAGTTGTCAGAAAATTGATAAGAGATTCAGTTTGAAGCACGGTTTAAGNAGGCAATTGAGGCTCCTTTATATTGATAGTCGATACTCAATATAGGTATACTTTATTTGGCCTCAATTGTTCCCCTCGAGGACCGCTGATAAGACCAATATGTCCTATCCATATCTTTATTATCTATGGGATAAAGGTAGTTGTCAGAAAATTGATAAGAGATTCAGTTTGAAGCACGGTTTAAGATATCTTAAACCGTGGTTTGAAGTATTGCCAACGTTGAATAACAAAATGTTTGTACAGACATTATCTTTATCAAAAAAGAAAATGTATTATTAATGTATTTATGTATACATCTTTTAGGGCATCAATTTTCTTTTAAAAAAAACAACCGTTTCTTCATTTTTTACAAAGTGCATTAATTTTATTATACAATGGAGTCCCAAAATCATTTAATCGACCATACTTACAATATCTCACCCAGTAAGAAGAGTTGGTTTAATAAATATTAAGTACTTTATTTTTTTTAATAGAAAAATGCATTCATTTTTTCAGTTCAAGATATAGCTGACGCAGGTCGTGTTGTTGTTGACGGTATGCATTGATCTATTTATTAGAATATACATTTAAACAAATCATATTAATAATAGATACAAAAATAAATTTTAATAGGAACATTCAAAAAATATTTTATCATTAGTTAAAATAAGAATTCAATGCTTAATTCACTAAGATTACCATTTCAATCATTATTCTCTTATAGACAATATTCAGTTTTGGCCAGTTGGAGATCGACCCAATTCTTACCAATTCATTTGTAGTGTCCATCGAAATGAAGAAGTTATTCAGGATAATTTATGGTTTGTTTATTTTTGTTTATTTTTTGCAAATTGACAGAAAAAAAAGTGTAAGTTATTTCTGTTTTATCCCTTAATTGTATTATTATTTTATTTTATGTATACAAAATGAGCAAAAGCATAAATGTAAAAAAACAATTTGTAAGATACAACAGTACTTTATATAATGGAAATAGTGAGTATAATATGATAGATATTGTGTCCATACAAGTTAATTGTAAGTGCGATTTGGTAGTTATTATTCTCATATTTGTTCAATTTTATTTTATTTTTTCTTGATTTATTATTTAATTGCAATGTTTTTTAGATACTTAAAATGTAATGAAACGGCAAGTAATGGATGTCCAGCTACAGCTTTCATTTCTACCATTATTGAGGATAAATCGTTTTCACTCTTCACTAAAACTATATTGACTACATAATCATCCAGCTAGACCATCAGACAATGTATTAAGAGAACTGAGAAATTTACTTGGTGACAAATGTATAAAACATTCTGCTCGCTCATATTCAGCTCGCACTTTATACATCGAAAGTATTATTATGTTATTACTATTTAGTGTAAAAATGTTAATAATAAATAAATCTTACTATCTTGATTTCATATTTTATTTTTGTATTAGTCACCCAGAAGGTGCTACCAATTATGCATTTCTACAAGCTACTGAGAAAATGAAAAATATAAATCTGTTTTTCCACCTACACCTAGAAACCTGCAAGATTTGAATAATTTATTATTATTAAAATATAATAGACATTTCAAACACCAGGAAGTTTGTATGTTTTGTATTAATCATGCATATTATTTTTATCTGATTATTATTAAATTAATTAAATTTTCTGTTTTTAGATTCTATCAAGGACCACTGATGGTTGATGGCACAATTGTCGGGATATAGTTAAGCAATATTAAATATATTTAAAACATAAAAAATGATTTAAAATATGTAATTTAACGTATTGAGAATTGTCTTAGAGTATTTATATTTATTAATTATGATTAACTTGTTTGTAGGTAAGAATAGCCGGTTGTGATGGTACATTTAAAACGATTCTGAAAACAGTGGTGATTGTTACCAACTCTTTACATTTCATATAATATACAATAATGTTGTAAATATTAGCTATAAATATCACCAAAAAATGTTAAAAAGGACGTTGTACCCACGTGAGTAGTCTCCGTCTTACATACGTCCGACACAGCAAATTTCCGTTCACCAGATTCTATAGTGTGCTATTATTCTTTATATTAGAGTTTATTTACCTATTATAAAATTAAAAGGCGAGATTACTATCGTATAATATGATACATATACATTTTAAAATCATCATAACTAACTTAAAAATTATAATATAAATAAAAGCTCTAAATGATAATCTCACCTTTAAAGTTTAAATTGTATAATAGGTCAGTACACTCTGATATAAAAAATAACAGCACACATTATTTTTGAATAATATTTAAATACTTTGTATTATTTATAATAATTACGACAACTTTCAAAATTGAATAAAATAGTTAATGACTAATAAAAGTAGTGTATTGGCTTATAATATCCATCCATTCTTAATAATAATAACTAATAATACACAGTGTTTATACTTAATATTGCATGACCACATTTTCCGGTACCTCGAAATAAATTACTATATAATGTGAACCCTTCTCTAATACATTTTGATATTTGAATTGTATTAAAAATGGAGACCATTGACATTTTGTCTCTTTGTATGTTTGCATCGTTCATTTATGTAGACATGTAGTGCAGGTTTGAGGATGGCTCGTGGTAAACAAATGTTATGGAGTACTAGAGTATAGTGTTGTATTTGAATTAGGCACGATTTGTTCTAATTTTAATACGATTCTTCATCTCTGACAATTATTCTCTGAGAGGGTGGGTACGTAAAACATAATAAAACATCATGTCCGCGTCACTAAAAATAAGAGTTCAGTTCGTCGCGTTCGCTAAATATTTAAGCCACCAATGTGGTTTTTTTCCCGGAATTTTAACAATAGTGGTCACCACTACAGCACTGAACACAAAATCATCAAAAACCGGTACCACTGTACCAGGAATATAGTAGGTTTATTGTATATAACTATATAAGTAGTTTATTAGGTAGTATATGAGAAAATATCATTTTTATTTATTAGTGTCGGTCCTGATGAGAGACAAGCCGCTGTGAAGTACGGCTCGTATATGTATTGCACAGGTAGTTTCGGCAAGGGAGCGGGAAACTCTCATGGCCTCTTTTTAATACTTAATAACAATTAAATAATGTACAACATTATATTGCTAACATTTAGTAGGTAATTTAATATTTTAATTATAATTTTACTATTAACATCAAAAGCATCGAGGCCGACGCATTTTTAATAAAAAAAACTACACGAGAAATACTCACACGCATTGTCAGATTGATAAACTCTTTTTTTATTATTTTTTGAAAGATATGAAGAGATTATACAGGTACAATTTAAAAAGCTCTATTTTCGGAAGTTGTATTAAACGTTTATATTTCAGTATTTCACGTATGTTTGAGTATTTTGAGTGTTCAAAGTTAATTACAAAATTGGAGACCAATAAAATGTTAAAATAGTGTTTATCTTTCAAATCATAAAAAATTATGAAATTCCCACTAATATATTCGAGTCTTGGTCATTTTTTGACCTCAGAGTCGTTTCTGACCGTCAAAATAGTTAGATGTTATTTTTTCTTACCTTCTATTGTATTTTATGGCCATCGTGTCACGTACCTAACCATGATAAATTGATCTTACATCCTTAAATTCTGTCTTGAATGATTATAGTGCATGTTAAAAAATCTTCACTCCTCCCTTCATAATAATTTGGACCTCATCATAGTTTGCAATGTCCATGTGGGAACCGTGGAACATCGGTACGACATACGGGTCGGTGGCCATTCGAAGGGGTGTGCGCAATATGATGGAATAAAAACGCTCTCAGACTTCGAAAACCTAGGGTACTCTCAAAAATAATATTGTTTGACTCAGTTTGAGCCTCAAGGAACAAACGTTGTCGTTAGTTGTCCGGTCATCGCGATGATTATATTATAATACGATATCACATTATGGCATGCCGGCTCGATTGTGTTTGTTATTCCACCCGGTTCACGGTACACACAGTTCTACACATCGTTGTTTTTTTTTCGATTTTGCCGTTAGGACGGGCGCATGTAAATTCCGCCCAAAATGAACTACAGGTAAAATAAGGTACATGTAAATTCCGCCAAAAAAAAATACAGGTAAAGAAACATACATGTAAATTCCGCCCTAAAAATTGTATTACTGTTAATAAACAAATTTCTGAATGTGTCTTATTAATCATATTATTACTGACATAACATAGATTAAACATTATAATTTAGAAGTGGGTATTTAAATAAATATATATTTCACATATTAAGTCAATAATTACAACATAAATCATGTATAATCGTAAGAATAGTAATAATTATAAAAGTAAATATAATAATCATAATAATATTATAGTAAAATTAAATCATTATCAATAATTAGCACAATATATATAAAAGTATTAAAAAATCGTAGAATAGTAAAAATTATAATAATAAATACGAATCAAAATAAAATCATCATCAATAATTAGCACATATTATTATAAGTCGTGTATATTGTATAGCATATAAAATTGTTAAAATAGTAATAATTATAATAATTAATACGAGTCAAAATATCACTTCCATACTATTTATTTTTTGTTCATGTTCGAACATTTTGTGACTTCCCAATACTGTAAGATATAACACGCGCCGCGTCGCGAAAAGTACGGTCGCGTCGTACAGTCACGGAACGCTTAGTTTAAAAATATTTATTTTTCCGGGCGGAACTATTTTTGTACCTGTATATTTTTTCGGGCGGAATTTACATGTACCTTTTTTACTTGGATATTTTTCCGGGTGGAATTCACCATAGACCTTGTTTTTACCTGTTCATTTCGGGCGGAATTTACAATCTCCCGTTAGGACAGCTTCGTTTGAAATCGATTTTTGGCACTCGGGAATCGCCACCGATTCTACATCCGACGTATTTTGTTGGGGAAAAAATTTTCCATAAGTACACCAGTCTTGATGTTTCTAATTCGTCCTAAAAATATTGCTCGGTGGTTGCTACATCGTACATACAGCAAACTGCTTCACAGCCGCATATAGATCATAGTATACAATTATACACATCATAATTGTATATAGGTAGGTAGGGTGTAGGCCGCAGGCCGCTTAGTCGTTGTCGATTCAGTTTTTCGATTTACAAAAATACTTTATCTGATCCAACCAATGATATAAATATACCGTAATAATAAAAATGATAAATTAAGTCAAAATGTGTGCCCAAAAGCTGACCTAATCTTAATTGTACCAACAGGCAAAATAGTCACTGAACGTTTGCCCCTTTAAATTTTATACAAATGTCAGACCAGCTGGCATATGTAACACGTTGGTGTATAATTTTGCTGGTATTTATAAATGTTATTGGAAAATAGTATAGACAATTTTCCTACGGCTGTATTGTGACATTGTGACTTTTCTAATAAATTAATGTCCCTGGAATAAACATAAGGCCTAACAACGCTATAAATTATTCTAAATAATAAATCATAATATATTAATTTACTAGACAATTAATATGATATCTTTATACACCATGATAAATACATTTTTATCACAATAATTGAGCTTAATAAGTAATTTACTATTCTATCAATAATCATTAATCCAGCTCAATAGCGTATCTAAGATATTTTTAAAGATAGTGTTCATTTAAATATATATTAATATTAGTTATATTGTTATAGGTACATTTAAATATAGTTAAGCTTTAGAAAATAATTAATTTAATAAAAACGGTTGGCTAATTAAGTCAAGACTTTCTTATAATCATATTAGAAAATAGGTAATTTAGTAATTTTATAGATCTATCCATGATAATTTTGAAATCGTATGCACCCAACCAAATAGTAAGCAGATATATAATATAAAATATTATTTTTGGCAATATCTTACAGTTTTGGTGGAAAAAATAACATTAATAAGATATTAATATGTTTATACTTAATTACAAAAAAATGTATTTATAACAAGTACTAAAGGGGGTAGTTATATCCCCTTCAAATACCCTCCTTGTATACGTCACTGGTCATGCTACAGCCAGTCAGCCTATACAAGTAGTAGATACCTGAATGCCACTATAATATTTCTACCTGTGTCCTACTATCGCACTGGGTGATTGTAAACTCAGCCTCGTTTTTTCAGGTAAAAATAATTAACATGTAAACTCAGCCCGAATAATATTATTATATAGATTATTATATAGATCTTCTTATTATAACATTTATATTGTAATATTATTGTTCATACTGTTGATAGTATGAAATTACATAAATGTGAAATCGTGTAAAAATGTAAGTAAAATGTTTCAGTGTTTGATTTCATTTGAGTACTCAGTGCAAAAAATATCAGTAAAATATATATGTTAAATTGCAAGTGCAAGCCATGCAATGGTTTGGAAGATCCTTTAGTGCTTTGCATGACAATTTTATAATCTGTCCTTGGTTGAACCTATATGGATCTAAAATGCATTAAAATAATCAATTGCAAGTATGTATTATAATTTATAATATGTCTCTAGACTATAGAAAACTAAAATAATGCATATTGGTACGAGGTAGGTACATTTAAATCCATACAGCTATTCCTAAGCCATTTACTGTGCTTACGAATAACTTCCTCGTTCTTATAATATACCTAAGTATGCATATGTAATATGTATATTCATAATAAATATTTTAGTTGTTCGATAGGTCAATCCATACGATCATTATGTTTATGCCATTACTTTTGTGGTATCATTCTATTGTCTATATTTGTACTTTTTTGTACTTGCAATAAGCCATGGAAATTTCCAAACATCAATCTAATGATAAACATATTATTATAAATTATACATCTAAAGTCAGTTTTTCAGAATGTGTGGGTTTAAGCCTACTCCTAATTTTTCTAAACATCATTATATTATTTACTATAAGTTTATACAAATTAAAAGTTCATTTTTCCTTTTTCATACGACTTTATAGTTTATTTAATTGTAATACCTACATAATATCATAGATATGTAAATAGTAAATACGTTTATAATACGTATTAATTTATCAGACGTTCTATAGGTATGTAGATATTTTATCTCATGTGTCGTATGTATAACATAATACAAACGATGTGGCATTAAAAATATAAAATAATACTGGTTCGTCTTATATTATACAAATCTGTGTACTTGTACC